AAATGAAAATTCTTAACATTCGGTATTATTCTGCCGAAACTGAGCTACTGATAACGTTGTTAAATAAAGCAAAAAGTAGTAAATAAATAAATATTACCCAGCATTGATGACAGTGACAATCTGATATGTAGTGAACATATGAGGCTATTCCTACCATTTTATATGCTTTAAAATTCTAACCTAACTTTAAGCTAGGTGTTCTAAAACTTTAAATTAACATAACCACATTTCAAACAATTTACAATGATATAAATTTTTACGTTCAACTTACAACATTTATCTAATGTCCACATTTCTCCCAAACAGCTCAAGATTGTAAATTTCATAAATTCAGATCGATATTTATACAACATATCGTATATGGAATTTTTCAAAAATAAAATCTGCAGCTGAACCAAGACTCGCGAGCTAGACTTTAAGTGCACTTTCAAAAATCGTTCGCTACGAAAGTTTTGCTGCACACAGGCTTAAGTAACCCAGCCTCTATTCACCACAGGACGACCATAACCTACAATGGTCATTCGGTATTCAAATCCAATCTCTACACCATCACACGCACCAAAGTTATTATAGTGTAAGCCCTAACACGACGGTGTCATGGAAATGCGTGTTCATGAAATATTAAAATGGTATATTAGGAATAATTTATTCATAATTTAGGCAACATATTAACCAAACCCACACAGCTATGAAAACAGTGCAAATAACATGCATATATAATATGGTAAACATTTATCAACCCGGTACTGAAACAGTTTTACAGAATTGACAATGCGATTAGTTGAATAAATTATTCTGAATCGCCCTGTACATAACAGATAGAGGCGTCCTCACATTTATCTCCAATTTCCAAACAATTTATCAACCTATTCCAACAGCTAAATGAGTGAAGAGGTTGTGTGACAACCTACAATTAATAAAATGATGTGAGGGGCTGTTTTATGTACGAACACCCATAAAACTGAAATTCGATTAATTTCTAATCGAAGTTTTAATGAGTAAACTAATATCACAATCGGTACACTAAAACTGACTACGTTTAAAGTTATTAAATAGAAACAGGAAACCATTTTATACCAAGTTTTAGAACGAAAATACCAGTATACCATTACGTAATGCTATAGAGCATTCATACAATTCTTTTTTACTATGCTGTACTTGCGTGTGTTTATATGCGCTTAAATTACGCTATAATAGACCCGGAGACTAATTAGATTTTTCCACACGGCACGTTTTAATACGTCATTATGAAATATGCCTCTTCACACTGGCGGAGACCAGATTGCTTTCATGCTTCGGCTGGGTAATATTTGACTCGCTGAAATTCAGTGTTAATTGTGTACAGTGCACATGATATGGAAAGATTCTGAATCTAATTAATGATCGGCTAGAATTATATTTACCAACATAAGCAGGCAAGGCTATGCAATGCTTTCCTTATGATGTCCCACTCTTGAGTCCAAATGGGGATTAATTCTGAACATCTATGTAATGTCAAATATTATCACTTTAAGGTATTTCACAAATATAACTAATGGCTTTCTATACTTTATTCACCGTCTTGTAATCCGAACGGGACATAACTTTTCACAAAATGGATCATTTTTGTTTCTCGTGTAAAATGATGCAAAGTACGTACTCATTTTGGTACTGTGGTTGTTTCTATAACTGTTAGGACGGACCTGGGTAAGTACAATAGGTCGACACTTAACTACAGCACCTAAAACGACACACTCGAACAGCCTTAAGATCCACATACTACGAAATTATTCTCTGCAATAATTACACTCAAAAACGGAGACATGCCTCCGTCTAAGAATGGCTGAATTCTTTCATAGATAACGATATGATAAATTCAAAGCAGTTTTATATTTTAATATTTCAATATTTATAGCCTTGGTATCTATACGTAGAATAATGACATATTTCGGTATGATTAAATATCTAATATTATAAGTATACAATATTAGGATTTCATTTGTATAATAATAAATTATTAAATCAATTTAAAACATCCATCAATAAAGCAGCTTGCAATACCATAATAAACTTCTTATAAATACACATAACCTAAATGTGATCAAAACAGGACTAATATGTAGTGATTTTTCATTACATAATATATTCTATGCCAAAATAAGTCGAGTTGATGACTCACGTAAAATTGAATGGTACCAGAATGTAGAAACTGAAGATGTTGATAAGTTCCATCACATTTCCCCTTATTAAACAATATTTCGGTAAAAATACATAGTGCTCTTTTTCAAAACAAATTACACGAATAAAGATTTGGGATGACAGATTCTTTAATGTTAGAATTTAGGGAAATTTTAGTTTCCAAAAAACTTTTTTAAAAATGTATATAGGATATATTTCCTCTAAAATATAGCTGCTGCGGTGTGAAGTAAAACAGGCACCTCCATTTTGTTCCGAAATTCAGAACGGATCTTGCAGATAGGAATAGGGAAAAACTTAAACTTCTAAGTTAAAATATCTTGCTATTATAATTGAAACATCTACAACAACTAGGTCTACGGTGTAGCAATTCCGTGTTTTCTAAAGGTGACTTACCTAAAGGTAGCGACTAAGTCTTTGGTACAGAGGTGAGACTATTACAGCACTCAACAGGTTCCATTATTAATACCACCCCCATCCGCCTTGGCCCCATCATCTGCTCCAAATTGCATGTACTGCAGGACGTAATGTACGAACCCTTGTTTCTTTGTCAACTTGGAAGTAATTCAAGAATTCTCTGCAGTATCATATAATCTATCCACTGACACTACAGCATACAACAACAGAAACATTTTATTACAAGGCAAACTTTTCCACATCGGATTTCCTGTTTCATTCTTCTGCTTTTCTATATCTTCTTATAAGTTATATTTATATTTTTTACTCTCCGCGATGTATTTCCCGTCCGAACAGTGTCGCTATAAAAGTGTTTTACTAGGAATACAGCAACAAACGTCAAATATAACATTGGCAAGCCCAAATAATTTCTCTTAGAAGATTTAAAAAAAGAAATAAATATCCCCTCGCCACTTCTATCGCCTTTTGTCTCTTACTTCATTTTATCTCCTTATGAACTTCTGTAACTCAGCAAAATAATGGCAGATGGCGATAGTGCTGAAGTATGGCGACAAGAGGGTTATAAATTTGGTGTTGACTTCACGCACTCAAGGACTTACTGTGTGTCAAATAAGCTGACACTTTTCACACGTTTTCTGCTGTCCTGATAAGTAAAGTGAACTGAAATAAAGACATTGTATCATATTCAGCTGTCAAAAAGTTCATAAGCTTAGACATCGTATCATGAGAGACCTCTCTGAGGATTCTCGTTGCAATAATCCCCATATAGAAGAGTTATAACAATAAAAGCAGCACTCATACGCTGAGGATCACTGTAATAAAACCCCAATGCATATAGTAAACTACCCTTACCGAAGAAAGTGGTTTCCATTTCCTTGTCCACACGAAAGTTCTCATCGTATGCTAGTCCGTACAAAAAGGAAATTAAGGCCACATTGCTCTCGTCTATATGATAAATTATTCATATTGATAAAAACAATATTAAGTTAGGTGTTGTATGGTGTTTCATAACGGTGAATTCTAAAACAATTTAGTCTACAGTTTTACGCTCAGGATTTTTTGTCATTAGATCTTGAAGCGTAACTTTCAATTTTATGAAAAACAGATTTTGAGAATTGAAGTTTTCGCGGCAGTGAGGATGATGTAATAATAACGATGTTGTTCTGGGTTTTGATGGCATGTAGACATGTCGGTGGATGTCAAAGTTTCGGAAAGATCGAAGTAAATCGTTATATCTCACTAAATTTACTGGTTACAGGTCGGACGACCAAAGTTCGATTCCCATCAAAGGAAGTGAGTTTTCTCTTCGACACCGCCTTCAGATCGAACCGGGGCCCACACAGCTTATCAAATGGGTACCGGGGTTTCCTACCACATGGAATATAATCCAGGATATGAAGTTCTTTTTCCAACCAAAGACGGGGTTAAAGCAGGCAAATCTTTAAACATATATTAATTCTATCTTAACGTCATTATTCATGGTGTCGTGCTTAAGGAACAGATGAACTTTAACTTTTACACTTATCGGGAAACAGGAGTTCACATGTCTACATTAAAGTCCCAAAAGAATTCACATTTGTACCTGTTGTCGATCTATTTTGTATTGAGTATTAAAGTATTCTTGTTTTCTTTATTTTAGTGTATTAATTTAAGTATTATTAAGTCGGTAGGGATTTGAACCCTTTTCTCTTACTTTCAAGGTATTTGCATATCATAAAGCTTTCCGACTATTTTGTTATCTTATGATTGTTAATGTTTGTCCTGTCATAGGAAGAATGGAAGTCGTGCTGAACTTTTTGGATCAAATCCACATTCAAATTGTGATCTCTTTTCTCGATCTTCAATGTTTTTCTGATAGAGTTGTTGCTATTATTATAATAATTATTGATAGTGTTATAATAGTTGTAATTATTAATGTTACTGCTTTAATTATTTATCTTGTTATTTCAAACTTCTTGATTAGAAGTCAAATACATACTTATTATATTAGATAAATTTATTTGTAACAATTTGAAACACAATTAATGTAAGTGCATGGTTGTACTGTGCATTTTCAAACGATAATAATCAGAAATGTTGTTTTATTTACAAAATGGCCGTCTAAATATGAAAGGAGCAGATATTTAATCAACCTGAATAGAACAATAAATAAAATGAGACTACGTCATAAAGGCACGCGTTATTCGTTTCTTGTTAATTTCAAAAGTTTCCCTCGAAGGGTCTTAGCCTCCTTACTCATGGGAGGTTACTTAAACTATTAAGATATGTGGTACGACTCCTTGGACGAGTGATCAGCCAGTCACAAGGCCGTTGTTATATATTAAAACTTTAAAAAATTTCGAATTATTGTAAGTCAAAGTACTTCGAGCAGAAATAGTTTCCTCCCCTTAATTTGTACAATCTTTACAAGCCTCTATATATATATCTCATCACCTCCTGCTGCAATCCATCCTTTATCCTTTGTGTGAACAATATTTGATATCTGAAAACTGTGCAAAGAGCAATGCAAATCTAGATTAAATCCGCCATGTTATCCACAGCTATCGCATTTTACGGACTGGGTCATTCTTTATGAGTTCTTTAAAAATATACATAAAAGCAGAAAATTCATTCCAGAATTTTACTTCTTTATTTAAAATCGTATCTCACTTCCTTCAGATACCAGCGAGAACAAGACCGAAGTAACAGATTCGTATTTCATGTTTCAATAATCTCAGCGAGTACAGAAAGGAACGTTGGTAATTGCTCGCTTTTCATTTTCGCAACCCGAGTCACAAAGAATAAAGGGCAGTCATGTCGAAGGAACTGGATGGATTTTTCATCTATTCGTCTTTTTAAAATTCTTTCGTTTCTCTAGAATTTTGCGTTTCTCCAACTCAGATTATGCGACCATAAGCTATCTTCACAGTGTATAAAGCTATTCATGTCCAACCTTGCTCCTTCACTTGGCAACAATTCAATTCATAAACAAATCACTATGCAACGCCATGAAGGAAAAAACTAGATAATATGTCGTGTCACATCCGGTAACATTTTATGTACTTCTTGTAGGTCATCTGGAAATAACATAAATCTTCTATTATAAGCTTTGTACTTTCCTACAATAAACAAGTGATTTAATTATTTTAGTACAGTTTGTTTAAAAAGTCCTGGGCAAAGAATGGTAGCTTTTAATAGTCAAAATACTTATATTAAATGAAACTAGCATGGTTTGATTCTATTAAACGCGATACAATCTCTACAATTGAACCAGAAACGACTTATAATCAATGCGTATAATTGAATAAGAACTTGTAACCCAAGTTCAGACTTTTAATACCTTCCTAAATCAACTGTACCAACGTTTGCTGTAGACGAGAATACTTATTTTAATGACTAATTTCTGTGGATTAGAATGTGATAAGAGGACTCGAACTTCCTTGTTATAGAAGTTACACAAAATGTGCTGCTTCAATTTAAATGGACGGGGGATGCTGTCTGATTATAAAGATCTCTTCATACTTGTTCTGTCAAGTGAAACCCAGATTAAAAGTACGCTCTGTATTTCATGTTTTATTTATTAATCAACATGGAAAATGTACTCCAACTCAGGAGTCATATTGTCAACCAGAACTCTTTTTAATTAAGAGAAATACGAATCGATTGGATTGTACTAGTGAAGACAACTGTTTCCAATAGAATGTTAGTAATCCTTTTCCTCTCCATTCACTAAAAGTTAATCATTACGACTTTACTCTTTCGATTTATTTTCTTAAACCCTTAAAACTCAGCCGTAACATTATGTACCACTTGCTTCAACATAAAACTCAGCATTTCTTACAACCAACTAACTAACTAGATGGCTTACGGAACCAGAAGGTTCATCACCGAATTAACCAAAGCCCTCCACCTGACCTTGTCCTGAGCCAACAAATTCCAGTCACCTTCAACCCCTATCTCGCATAGATACTGTCTGACAGTATCCTCCCATCTACGTCTATGTCTTCCCAGCGGTCACTTCCCTTCAGGCTTCGCGATCATACCCGGTGCAGACCTCTTGCCACATCCATGCGCGCTACATGCCCCGCCCATCTCATTCTTCTTGACATAATCAGATGGTAGTAATGTTGTGTCATGTTGCTCTTCAGAAATATTAAAAATTTTCGAATAAAACACAGTCTGATGCAACTAGTTAATCTTAATGGTCTTCACTTAAGACGACATGTTTCGGAAATTATATTTCCATCATCAGGTCAAATAAATGAATATTCTTAATATCCTCTACACGGGTATAAATGTTGTCTACCAGCTGAAATTCTTTTGCGTCAGTATCTTGGCAAAACAAGGTGAAAATATGTGTTTATAAGAAAATTTTCTTAAAACAGCAAGACATTATTTTCTTGTAACACACAAAAATTGTTTCACTGGAAACCTCGAAAGGAGAAACAGTAAGTAGGAGTCCGGGTACCACGTCTATTGTCTGGAAGGGAAAGAAAATTGGTAAAGTTCTGGCCTCAAAGTAGGCCGTAGTTCTCAGATGCGCCACGCAACATCGTGCTAACGGAAACTGTCAGCGTCGTAATCGAATCTCTCCGCTCGATTACCCATGCAGCAGGCTTCACCTCCAACATCAGCAGCAACATTTAATTGACGCACGTTATAAACATCCAGTGTTCATGCATCTTTATACGTTGAAAGCAATGAGTCCCATTTGTAAAATGGAAAACTAAATGTAGTTTAGGATCTCTGTAAGCATTAAAAATTTAAGCAAACAGCGAAACCTTTGGTAGCAAACACAACGGGTTACAATTCCTGACATGGTTTCACGGTTTTAATTAACATTTGGTGTTTTTGTTCCACGAAAACAATTTCAAATACAAACATATGGCACCTGCTAACACACAGCTGCTTCGAATGTACGTCGTGTGCAATATCAATAAAACTGAAAGCCCTGAGGAGATCTTTCATATCCCTCATTTGTCATAAACATTATTCTACGATACAAAGACACAGGCTGATTAATCGCACAGATTTACACAAAACAATGTCACTTTATAAACGGATGAACAACAGTCACTAAACCGCTTATTAATTTATGTAACAATATTAAGCATGGGAAACATGACGAATACAACTGTAATTATAAAAGAGTGTAAAGTTATTGTTAAGAAAAGTCTTCAAATCCTTAAACACATTATTACAGCAACGCGACTTCATTTTTCGTAGATCCACCCGAGAGACGTAGCAAATGCAAGCTCGGTCGGAAAAAATTTAGCGCTGTCGTCAGCTCATCTTTCTTTTTTCCAAACACAAAAGCGTGAACAGCAAGCTTGTAGTAGTCAGAGCATATTTCAGTGGGCTAGAGACGGAAAGAAATGTCAGATGATTCATTAACAAAACGGAGTAAATGTTAAGGCGCCAGACGGGTGATTATGGACCAAAGCTGTTTCGAGGTGATCAAAGCTGAGCGCTAATTCGAGGTCTCATATAATCGCGGTTTAAATGCACAGTATCTCGGAGTATACTGAGATCCCTTTCTTATCTCCTCAGACAATTTGGTAAGGTGCACGTTTTAACAGGCAAAGGACTCGTGGACAGGCAGGTGGCAGTTTCCTTCAAACGTTGGTAACCACGTACAAGACACCACGGTGTTACAGCCAAGATCAAAACCCATCTAAACTACTTTTCCAGGAAATATATTTTTTTGCAAAAATGTATACAATATTTATCATCTACCTCACACGTATTGCAAATACCGCCCATCTCAAATTCCCTATTCTCATCGCTTTGTAATATCTCATTAAGAGTGCAACTTATGAAGCTGTGCGCCATATGTCATTCTTCCACTTCCTGTCCTTTTCTTTGTTGTATATCAACATTAAGCCGCCACGGTGGTCTAGCGATCAGAACACTAGCCTTGTAATCCTGGGGTCCCGGGTTCAATTCCCGGCGGTGCCCGAATTTATAACTTGTGTTGGGCAAGGCCGTGCTAGCTGTTAGAACGCTGGCCTTGTAATCCTGGGGTCTCGGGTTCGATTCCCGGCGGTGCCCGAATTTATAACTTGTGTTGGGCAAGGCCGTGGTCTAGGCAACACGGAGTTTTCCTCCGGGGGCTTCCCCGGTTTCTCCGTGGCATCCCAACAATTACTCCATTCACACACAGAAGAAGACAATGGCAAACCACTTCTGGATCATCTGCCAAGAACGTATATGAACAGGTCCCAGTCCGAGAAAAGGATGGAAGGACTTGTTCATATGGACCTGTCGTCAGACAGAACACTAAATAAAATATCAACATTCACATAAGCATCTTGTTTTAAAACTCCCTCCACCTACATGGAATTTGTGGTTCTCTTCAGCCCTGAAGATGAAGACAGAATGTTCCTCAGAAACGTTGCTATCTTCCTACAATTCAACAGAAAGTTAAAACCCAGAAGATCAACGTCGCATCCCTTAAGCTGATTTACAAGTAAGAGAGAGCTTTACGATCAGAGCCTGAATTTGTCATTCGTGATCGAAATTTTTTATTCCAGTTTCACAGCTTCGTCTTTGTTTTACTTGATCCTTCTCAAGAAATAAAGATACCGTAAATGTGCAAGGATAACGTGAGTACACAAGCAATGTTCCAAGGAGAAGAAACAGCGTAAAATTCTGTACGAAGACTTACAAACCGAAGCTCGTAAACTACAGGAAATGTGTACAATTCTTTGGTCTCTGATTTCAAATGTCTTTGTTTCACATCTTCGATTTCGTGAAACTACTTCTATTTGCATGCCGTATCTTGACTCAGTCCCACCGAATCACGTGATGTGCTCCAAATAACTACGGCGCCTCTCGAGCTCATGCCAATAGACAAGATACGTGAGCGAGAAACCGCCCTGTTTCGCCTGAGGTGGAAGGCGTCATATTTCGCTACCAGAACACCATGCTGTGTCCTCTTCTCAATAGATATCCGAATCTACACTTTTCCCACACAGCTTATTGCCCCTGCACTGCTAACCGTAACGTCACGTTGTACTGCAGGCTAAAGCCAAGAGTCCACACCTGCGCACTCTATTGTAATACAATAGCCTAATGGGACAACGGATTCCGAGGTTCAGGTGTGTCCAGGCGAGTGCTCTTGTGATAGACCAGGTGTTCGCTGCTTCTGCACGTCCACACTTGAAGTTCATATGTGCACTTTCTGCTGCTACATTACGGCAGAATGCTCAAGTGCAAACCCCGGTTTTGGGGTTGCAAAACCAGACAAAAAAATTTACTTACTGCATTTTTTTTTACAAGATTTCGTATCACGATGTAAATTTCGTAATACGGATTCATCATATGAATTAGCCTGCGGCCGTGTCGACGCAACGAGTAGCGAGTGTCTAATACTGTTATGCTACATTTACCAAAGCCTTCCGTGCTTATCCTCAGTTGTAAGGCAAATTCCAAGGTATAATTAAAAAGAGCGCGTCAAGCCTATCCCAAATCATGGATTTCTTCATCCGAAATAAACTAAACCTTTCTGGGTTCAACTCCCAGACATTCATCCAACCAAAATTATTCTCGCAAAGGACAAATTTCCTATAGGGATCAGTGCGTAGTAGCCCCTAGTCTGATCAAGTTAAACCTTCATCTAATACAAATAACCCATTAGCCTAATCACACACCTACTTTATATAGTTAATACAAGGCACTTTTTACCAGTTCCAACTGTGCGTTTCTTACGCACATGTGGTTTAATAGAACAAGGGACGATGTCTTGCGCCTGCACAGGACCCCGCTTTTGGTTTCAGTTTCGGTTGGTGGTTGCTTGGTTGGTCCTACTCGCTTCATCCTGAAGCTGAACGTGACTCGTTGCTCCGAAACGTCGGTAACAACCTATAAGATCACAAGGCGTCACTACATAAATGACAACCGCTGACGTATCCTGCCCAGCTAGTATTAATACCTAAAATCTCAGATTACAATGAATTTACGAATCGTGTTTTGGAAATAATGGGCATTCAAAACAAACTGCTTCAACCACACACAGCGATTGCTACTGCGAATTTCACTGCCTGTTGGGAAAAACAGACGAAACAGTGTTAACATGTGTTGCTACGCTACAAATACAGCAAAATAACGATTTGCTCTGTGGCTGCTAGTACAATAGATGCC